TTTCCACCAAAAATTACTTCATACAAGGAACAATTTGATTTCTCTCAACTCAAAGTCAATGGGAAGAAGAAAAGGGGAGGAAAACCCAACCCAGATCATGTAGGTTTCTTGGGGTCAGATGGGGTACATATAGTCAGTCGCCAAATGCTAAAAATCATATCAACAGTATCCAATTGACAAGAAAACAATCAGAGGTGTCTAGATCTGAACTCTCAATTTCTAGAAATAACCCTTATTTCACTAGAAAATCAAAGGTTTTGCTGCCTATTACCAAAAATTGTTTGGTGGTTTGGGTAAACCAACAATGCATCTAAAATGAAGAATTTGATTATGAAATTAAAGTGTTTCTATGGCAAGAACTACAAAATCAAAATAATTGGCCCAAAATCTCAGATTTAAAAAAGTATCACTAAAAAAAAACCTAACTAAAAAGAGAGATCGTAGTAGAGAAGAAGGAAGAGGTTAGCAAAAGAAAGAGAGAAATGAACGGTAGTACAAAGTTAGGTCATTTTGGTTTTTAGTTTCTGTATTTATTGTGGGTAAATGGGAAGGGTGAATTTGGAAAAAAAAAAGTTAATGTAGCATTAAAATCTTAAAACGTCAAATAATTAGGAACAAATTTTGGCCGCTAAAATGACTAATATTTAGGAACAGAGGGAGTAACTTATTAAGATCCCAAGGGCGAATCTTGGGCAGGGGGAAAAGAAATAATTCATTGCTTGGAGCCATAGACCTTCTTTAAATGTACCAAAAAGAAAGTAAAAAACCAAAATTGTTAGAAAACAAAAATCTCTCCACAAATTATTATTCCTCGCAAATTACACTACCAAAAAAACATCACTCAAACTTTGCTAAAGAGTGTAAAATTTCTGTTATTTAGTCATTCAAGACTCCTTGTGGTACATCACTATGTGCCATGTATAGGAATATGAAAAAGGTTAAATGTTAATTTTGGTCCCTTAATTAATTAATTAATTAATTTTTTTTTGGTCTCTTAAAGAAAGGATAGATAGTGCCTAGTGATACCTCTAAACTTCAGAACTTTGTGGATAAATGTGAGGTATTTGATTTAAAATTTACTGGTTGTTTTTACACTTGGTGTAACAATCAATATGGTGAGGCTAGGCTTTATTGCAAAACTAGACAGGGCTTTAGTCAATGCTGCTCAGCTTACAAATTTTCTTATATCTGTTGCATGATTTTTAAATGTTGGCATCTCAAATCATGCTCCATGTGTAATTACAGTGGAAACTATTTCTAATGTTTTGCATAAGGCATTTGGATTCTGTAACATGTGGACAAAGGATGAGGGAATTCCTAAATTTAATAAAGCTAGCTTGGTAGCAAGAGATCGGAGGCTACCCTATGTATGTCCTAGTGTAGAAACTCAAGTTAGTTAAATTGCAAATGAAGAAATTACATAGAGCTACGTTTGGAGGTTTGCAGCAAAGGGTTTCTTGTGCAAAGGAAGAGCCTTTTTAAGAAACAAGAGGCATTGCAGTTTGATCCTTTTAATGATCATATAATACAAGAAGTGACGGAAGTTGCTCGAGAATATAAAAGGATAGTTGAAGCTAAGATAGCATTGGCAATGCAAAAAGCTAAAGTCAATTGGTTTACAGAGGTTGATACCAACTCTTCATATTTTCATGCAATGGTGAAAGAGAGGCAACACAAAGGGAATATGACCAGTTTGGCTACCGAAGCTAGCAAAAGAATTACTCAAAGGGATGACACTAGCCAAGGATTTGTTAATTTCTTCCAAAATTTATTTGGTACCTTTGTTGAAGGTGTTTCTCCTATTGATTTTGCTATAGTTAAAAGAGGAAGGTTACTTTCAATTGAGGAAAGTTTAAGGTTGTGTAGGCCCTTTATTTAAAAGGAGACTAAGAAAGCCCTTTTTACTATACCTGACAGTAAATCAACTGAGCCTGATGGTTTTACTTCAAGTCTTTTCAAAGCAACTTAGGGTATTGTTCTTGTAGATTTTGTTGTAGCAGTGTTAAATTTTTTCCATAGTGGGAAGCTACTTGGGCAGTTAATGCTACCAATATTAGTATTGTTCCCAAGACAAATTGTCCTAACACTATGGGCGACTTTGGACCTATTTCAGGTTGTAATGTTACTTATAAGGTAATTACAAAGTCGATGGCTCAAAGGATGACTGAGGTACTAGATTCTTTGGTTAGTGCTAGTCAAGCTACTTTTGTGAAGGGGAGATCTATCCCAACAAATATCCTTATTTGTCCAGATCTAGTTAGGAATTATCATAGAAGTGGAGGTTCCCCTAGATGTTTGATGAAGATTGACTTAAGGAAAGCTTATGATACAATGCATTGGGGTTTTTTTTGGAGAGTTTGTTAACTAAATTGCAATTTCCTCCCAAGTTTGTAAGATGGATCATGGTATGTGTGAGTTTAGCTAGATTTTCTATGGCATTAAATGGGCAACCTTATGGTTTTTTTCCAAGGAAGAGAGGACTTAGGCAAGGGGATCTAATGTCCCCCTTTCTCTTTGTGCTTGTAATGGAATATATGACAAGAAATTTATTAAAGTTAGAGGGAAATAAGGATTCTCAATATCATAGTAGGTGCAGGAAGTTAAAACTAACACATCTAATTTTTGCTGATGATGTGATGGTTTTTTGCAAAGCTGATAAGGCTTCTCTACTTATATTAGAAGGTTGTTTGATAAATTTTCTATGGCTATTGAACTTATGTGATATCCTAGTCCTTATTTCCAATTAGTTTAAAAAAATAGGTCCTTATTTGCATTGAGTCTAAAGTTAAAGTCCTTCATCTCATCTAGAATTAGGTACAAATATATAATAATTGTTAATTATGGGATTACATGTTATTTTAATAAGCTACAGACCAAGTGTCTATCTTAGGGAGAGTTTAGTGCGATCCAGCTATCTATAACCTGTTAAAATAAATGACAAGTAGTTGGATGAGAAGTGAGCCAAGTGAGGAGCAATTAAAACCCGAGGAGCAATTAAAACCCACTTGACTAGAGGTTTTTGAGCTATATAACTAAATTAGTCATTTTCCTGTATTTTGCCTCTAGTTGGACGGAAAGAGAAGGAAAAAGAAGCTTCATGTATATTCCTGCATTTTCCTGCTTTTTAATATGCTTCATGTAAATCTATCACAAGCCTTAGCATAACTGAAGGTGAATCCAAGTAAATGTAGATCTTAATTTGTAGGTGTTCTAGTCTGCATCTAGGTTTGTTGTGTGTATGAATGTGTGAGA